TGAAGAGCTTGTTCAAATTATAATTCTAAAAAAAAAACTACTTCCGAGTAATATACTAAACTTCCGAAAGAAATACAAACTTACCGAAAATTCGTAAAATAATATTAATATTTTATAAAATCATTTTCACCACTCTAGTGTAGGAACCTGTTTTATTTATATTATTGTTATTATTTAAGGATAATAAATAATAAGGTTAAACCTGACTCGCCGTGGTACTTGTCTGTTCGATACTAGAGTATAGTAATAGTAATTTAAAGGCGAAGGTGCGGGTGGAATAGTGTCCGTTTTCCATTATAGAGTTTACAACACCTAATTTTCGTTTCGACAAAATTATTATTGCTACACACTGGATTCCATGGTGATTCAACGAAAGCAAATATATTTTACGTAGGTCAAATCTTGATTGCGCCCCCTATTCAGTAGGTTAGATTAGGTTAGTATATGAAAAAGCAGCATGAGCCATGCGAGCGAAGCGAGCGTGTCTCGGCAGCAACCGGCGAGTCCCAGAAGCGAATTTGTTTGCGTTTCCGAACATGTTTTCAGGTCAAATTATACATTATTTACGATAAAAATGGCTAATAGTAGTTTTCGGTAAAATATAAATTAAGTTTGTAGAGTAGTGTTACGCCAGCAAGCTGTTTCGGAACTTTCAGTATTTCCTTCGACTATTTTCGTATTTTTATTTGCACAAAAGTTTTCGTAGCTTAATAACGCAGTAACATCATAGATTACTTAATAGTTACTACGTAGTAATATTTTTGTTTTGAGTTAGTGTTGCCCAAAATCAGATTCGTCAATGGTGCTGATCGTATGGCCGGAGAATACCACGGCCGCAGATTACTTAACATCCGCGAATGCTTAGGAGTGTCCTTTTGGCTTTTTTTTTGGTTTGGTTTTTTGTTTGGTTTTTGCAGCAGCGAATGGATGATCCAAAAAGTACTACCGTCTATGGGACCTTACACACATCCTTTTGTTGTTTGTTTTTAGCTGGTTTTTCGGGAATAGTTGACTAAGTACAACTGGGACAGTATGGGGAAAAACATTTTATTAATTTTGAACAACTTCTGCTGTTCCGTTTTTTTTCTTCCAATACAATGAAATGTTAGAATAGAATAGAATAGAATACGTTTATTTGCCAGAATACAGTAATTACATAGGTCTTAAATAAAATTAGGTACATTGTATTCAATCTGCAAGCAGATGTGCAAATATTAATAGGATTTCTTGTTCAGTCTCTACCATTAATTAATTACACTTCGGATTAATTTATATTTGCATTTGAAAATTCTAAATATTCTTTATTAGTATAAAAGCAATGTGTCAAAAGCCATTTTGTCAATTTTAATTTAAATGTATGTCCTTGCAATAATTTAATTTCACTTGGTAAATTATTATAAATAATAACACACATGTTAAAACAGTTTCTTTTATAAATTGCTTTGTGGCAACGAGGTTGGTACAAAAGATTCATGATTTTAGCTCTAGTTTGCCTTTGAATGATTTCACCACGTGTTCTAAAATATTGAGGATAGGTCTTGACAAATACACATATATCCCTAATATGGCAAAGGCAGTATGTTGAGTTTTTTGAACAACGGTTTACAACTATCGTCAAACCACGCACCGCAGATCGCCCGAATACACTTCTTTTGGACCTTAAACGCTCTTTCTAGATCTACTGAGTTGCCCCACAGTACAAGACCGTAGCTGAGCACGGAAGAAACGTAGCCGTGATAAGCCGTCAATGCAGCTTCATGAGAGACAGTTTGTCTTAGCCTTCGTAGAGCGTAAACAAATCTATTTAGTTTCACACAAATCTGCTCAATGTGTTCTTTCCAGCTAAGGTGTTTGTCAATTGTTAATCCAAGAAAATTAAATGTGTCAACTTCGTCTACGGTATCAGTATTGTATTGAATTGTGATTGGTATAGAATTTGAATTATACGATCTAAATGTCATAAATTTAGTTTTGTTTATATTAATATTTAAGTCATTAAAGTCCATCCAATTTACTATATCTGTCAGTCCTTTGTTTATATCAGTGTTAAATGTCGTTTTATCTTTGCATTTTATCATAAGGGTTGTGTCGTCAGCAAATTGTATACATTTATGGTTAGTCGCTTTTGGGAGGTCGTTAATATATAGAATGAACAACAATGGGCCTAGCACGCTACCTTGAGGGATTCCAGCATTACTCGCTTTAAAATTTGATCTATAGGTTAGTTTTTCAAATATAGTACTGTACTTGTTTCTACTAATTCCATTTATTTCTGTATATTGCGATCGATTTTGTAAATAGCTCTCTAACCATTCAAGGGCTCTCCCCCTGATACCTTATATCTCAAGTTTGTGTAAAAGTTTTGAATGACTGACAAAATCGAAAGCTTTACTCATATCAAGAAAGACGGACATTACAGGAGTAGAAGCGTTAATACATTGCGTTATATTACGCAACAGCTCAAAGCATGCAAGAGTTGTAGAGCTACCCTTTTGAAATCCGAATTGAGAACGGCTTATGATTTTATGTTTTTCTAAAAATGCATTCAATCGAGTATGTACAGCTTTTTCGAATATCTTGGATAGAGTCGGGATTAGAGATATTGGCCTATAATTATTTGGATTTTTCTTGTCACCTTTCTTAAAAAGTGGTTTGACAACACAAATTTTTAATTGTTCTGGAAAAAGGCCATCGCTAAAAGATAAATTTATTATATGTGTAAGTGGGTAACAGATACAAGGGGCACATAGTTTAAGCATTTTAGTTGTTATATCGTCGTAGCCACTGGATTTTGTGTTTTTTAACGACATAATAATGTTATATGTTTCCTTTTCGGTAACCGGTTTAAGAAACATTGTGTGGAAATTTTTACTTAGATTATAATTTGGAGTAAATGTCATATGGTTTGGAGTCAAGTTATCTTTATTTGTCATATCAATAAAATAATCATTAAAAATATTGCAAATGTCAACTGGGTTTGAGTATGTCACGTTATTAAGTCGTATGTGTGTAATGTCATTTTTATTAATATTGTTCATTATTGTAGATGAAATTGTATTCCACGTCGCTTTACATTTGTTTTTATTGTTGTGTATATAAATATTATTATTTATTCTCTAAGCTTTTAGGATACACTTTCTTAAGATATTATTATACAATCTGAATTTATTTGTATTTATTTGTTTGTTAGAGCTTGACGTCCTGTATTTTAAATATAACAATCGTTTTGTTTTGCAGCATTTTTTAAGACCTTTTGTAAGCCAGAGTAATTTTTTCGGCCTATCACTAATTTTAACTCTTAGTTTTGGAAAACAAAGTTCATAAAAAAGACGTATCAAATCGTAAAAGTAGTCAAAAGCTCGAGTTACCTTATCTGAACCAAAGACATCAGAAAAAGAAAGTGCCGAAATGCAATTATAAAATTTTTTAATATTGTCAGAACTATAATCGCGCCGCAGTTCATACCATGTAGTGATACCTTTTTGTTTCCCGGTCTTCAGGGTTATGGTTTGCGCAGTTTCGTGGTCAGAAAGCGCAAGAAAGAGAATTTCCGCTTTAACTGATTTTATATTGCTCGCAATCAAGTCGATACACGAGTTTAGCCGCGTTGGTGAGTTTATGTGAACATTAAAATTATAATTTTGAAGCAAACTCGGGAGATCTTTGGAAGCTGTATTTTCCTGCATTATATTTATGTTCCAATCACCGCAAATTACAATTTTTCTACATTTAAATTTGGTCGTCAAATAGTGAAGCAATGTGTTGAGTTTATAAATAAAAACACACCTTCCATGAAACTGAGTCGATCAGCACTAAAATAATCTATATAAACAAAAGTACGTGGAATTACATCTGTTTGCCAAGTTTTATTGAAATATCCCCTAGTTCGCCACTATACAGGACTTTACACAGGAGATCATAAAAATCGCTTCTCACTACTCAAAGTATATTGAGAGAAAAACGCCTTGAATTGGAGAATAGCAAAACCAACCATTAAAATAATGGCTCCTTTAGTAAAATTTAGGCGCTATTTATAAAAATGAATGTTCATGCTTCAGATCAGCCACCCTTAGAGGTGGATGATTTTCTTCAAAATGTACCCTCTTTCCAACAAAAAAAGAATCATGAAAATCGGTTCACAAATACCGGAGTTATCGCGTAACGTACATACAAAAGAAACATGCAGTCGAATTGAGAACCTCCTCCTTTTTTGAAGTCAGTTAAAAATTAATAAATTTTATTCGTTTTTATGGACAACACACGCTTGACCAAATTTACTATGCCAAAATTGTTTTCACAAAAAAGACTTATTGGTTTCTAAGACATGTTCCCTGTATTTTTTTTATAAATATGTATGTGCGAATTTGACCTCCATTTCACCTGATGGAAAGCGACGATGAGGTCGACGATGGAGCTTGCACATCTAAATAATGCCTATTCACTCTCGCCTTGAAAAGGTTCAAGTTAAAGCGTTCAGGGAACAAGTCTGCAGACAGGGAAGTCCACTCCATAGCCGTTCGCCATATTAATGTGGAAGCGTTACGCTTCGTGGGAATCTTTGGAATATCATAGGGGTGGAAACCAAGCCTACGCCTAGTCCCCTGAGATGGAAAGGCGGAATTAAATCGTGTAATTCCATCGCACACTCTCCGTGATATATCCTGTACAATACCGATAAGCAGGCAACTTTACGGCGATGTTCAAGGCTCTGCAGCTTCGCCTCTACTAATTCCGAGTGAAATGTAACCCTTTTGGCACGCTTGTCAATTGAATCCAAGGTGGCTAGTTGGTATGTAGCAGAGCCATCCCAAAAATGGCAGCTGTACTCCATGCACGGCCGGACTTGTGCTTGGTTACAACTGAAGCCATTCCTGGGTTAGCGTGTAGCGTGTACCTTGAACTTATTGGTGTCTGTTCATACTGTTGTTCGAGAAAGCCTAAACGCACAGTTTAGTGAGTTCTATGCATATCATGAAAAGAGAAACTACAGGGTAGGCGATTAAATGCTCATGAAGTTTATTGCTTGACTTAGTTAAGTGCAGTACTAAAATTACAAATATGTACATGATGTGAGCGTTTTAAATGTTTTTAATTTAAAAATATTTTTTACAACAATAATTAAAGTATGTTTACAAAGCGGAGGTAGTATTGTATAAGCATTCACGAAAACGGGCTACAGGCGATGGTGCGGGGGCATCACGCAGGGCCTATATGAGGAAGTAGTCATCCTTGTTAGCCTTCTGCCAGCACACTTGCGTATTGTAGGCAACGTCGCAGTGGTCGACGCCGGGCTGCGTGCCGCAAGCGCGCAAGTGTGGTGCGGAGCGGTCGCGCAGCGCGTCGGGCAACAGTGCCAATATGGCTTCCACGTCTACTGCGCCGTCAGCCATCATGCCCGTCGTTTCCATGGTACACTTTATGTAGCACTTGAGCGCGGCGTCGGGCGACAGCGCCACGCCTGCATTGACGCCCTCAACCAGCGCCCTGTCCACGCCGCTCTCAGCCAAGCAAGAGTCGCGCACGGCTTGCGCTAACTCCGCCATTTCGGGGTCCATAGGCGGCGGGGCGCCCCGCACCAGCGCCACCAGCACACACATCAACAGCATCGTCGAACAGCCCATGTTGCCGAGTGTCGCCGCCGCTGCCTTCCCCAGCTATATACGCCGCCGATGATTGCAACTCTTGTGCTAAATTACACGATCTCCGCATTCGCCACCTTCATTAAATCTCTGCGTGTTTTGCGTTGTCCGTTTAAACTGACATCTCTTTATAGCGGATCATTTAAAAAAGTGACACGGCACCTGCGACCGGAAAACGTCGCTTGTGCGTCCTGCCCAAATTAGAGGGTTAGCGTAAATGCTGTGCAGAGGTGGTACTTAAAATTATCAAATGATTCGATATTAATTACACCTTATGTCCTACTTATAATTCGTAGTCGTAAATGGAGATGACCATAAAACCACTATACGCAATATGCAATTGAAAGAAGATTAATTCACATGTGTAAGTAGAGATTACAAGTTAATATGGAGTTTTCATCATTATGTGCCTTTTTAAATACGTAATACAATTTTAAAAGGAACTTTTATGCGTTTCAGAAGTTCAGAAAACTACTTCAAGCTTACTAGCCTACTGGCTCTTCATATTAAATAAAATTATGACACGCAGACGTTTGTCTGGACACATTTCTGGCCCGATTTATTATAGTATAGGTACTGGGTATCGACGTGAAATGTTGCCTTGCGAATCGTGGAATATAAGGGATATACGATACCTCGGAACTGATGTCGAAAGTGGCGTAGTTTATACCTTAGGAAATAATACGAAATAATAATGATTATACCAACATTCATATAATTATTAATTAATTATAACCAAAAAGTCGTTCTCAAAATAACGATATTAAGAGATTGGAGGCACCAGTGCTCGAGAACACCCAGAACAAACCAATTTCGAAGTTTCATTTCGGGAGGCCACAGAGTGGGTTCTTTTTTAATTTTATTATTTGATTGCTTGCAGACACGGATGCAGTCGCTACGCAGCGCCCATAACACCACCATCGTCGAGACCTTTCGGCACATGGTGCGCCGTGAAGGGCTGCTTAGGTATGCACTTTATGTAACACAGGCTTTATGAGTTCCTTCTGTTCCGGCACTGGTATCAATGAACGCCAAGATCAAATGAAAATAACGCAAAGCTGTCGCACAGACCCAACTTCTTTCATCCACCTGGCTTGAATGAGGTTTCTTTCTTTGTATTTTTATTTTCATCTATCTACTTGAATGAATTATTCGACAAAGAGGAATACAACACGTATCAAGCACAACCGGTTTAATTTTTGTTTCTTGTATTGATGTAGGCTATTACTATTTTGTGTTATGAACAAATATCATTTTAGCAAACGATCGTACTGTGGCCCTAGTTTATAGTTTCCAAAAGCGGTCTCTACCGTCGGTACCGGTACCCGGGGGCGCTGAAGAGTCCTATGGGGGTGGTAGGGGCCTCGGAAGCAATTTGGGGGTGTTGATGCTGACCAGGGGGTGCTACCGCATTTGGAAATGAAAACCTGAATTATCTATATAAACTGCACTACATATGTATTATAATCTTGTGATTTTTTGTGTGGTTAATGTAAAAAATAAGTGTTTTCAATTATTTTTTGTGGTGATGGGCATTGAAATTTTTGTTATCTTGCCTTAGTGGGCGGTGAGCCAAAACGAGAGTCTATGCCCTAGCGTAAGAATATCAATTTCTTTGGCCTTGACTCCCGCTTGCGCCACCCGAGAGGTCCAGTTTGTAAATCGCCCGAATAATATCGGCATTTGTCTATAGAGGCACTGCTCCTTGTCTATGCTTGGAACGGATCGTATCCGCCCAGAGTCAATACAATAAATGTAATTTATTTACCGACGACATTAGTACAGGTTTATAATAAGAATGTACTTATAGCGTTGACTTCTTTCTTGAATTTTATTGTTTATTATGTCGTTTGTTACTAGAGTTTTCCTTCCGGTGACAGAGTTGTAACATAAATAAAGTGTCCTTGGAGAATACACAAATTAGCTGTGGCCTTCGATCAAATGTTATATTGTGCTCTAACGAAGATTGTTTAGTGCAAAGTACGTCTGCGCCTGATTGTGCAATCTTTCCTTGTCCTTAGTCACCGTCTTGTTCGTACGAGCTGCACCGTGGGAGGTGCAGGCTCTTACAACACCACTCTACTCACCACTGTCGACGAAGCCATGTGCGTTGAGGCTGTTGTCGCGTCATCGAAGACGTGTCGCTGCGGACGCACGGTGGAGCTTGTCTCATTTTCCCCCGGATATAATCTGTTGTGACTGCGCTTGCTCAATCCTATCAACAAGATCTTGAACATAAACTATTAAAAAGTCCTTTCAAACTTATCCATCTTTTGTACTCTCTTCAGTAATAAAATATGAATTTGCCCACATTATTATATTATAGTTGTATTTTCAATAAAATATATACAATGAAGATGAAAATCAAAATATGACAACGCGAAAACCTATTTGCCGCTTTGCATTGGTTTGCATTCCATTCGATTACAATATCAATTGCGCCAGTGACGTAAGCCGCATATTCCCTTTAAGTTAACAAAATGAGCTGTCATTGTTGTGTATTTGAGCTCTTCTTTCGCCTATTCTGAATAACGCCTGTTTACTCTTCTTTACCGTTTCGGCGGCACCAGGAGCGGTCGTTTTGAGATGGCCCAGTACCGCTTACGCTGTCTGACATTGGCGCGAATACTTGAAGGCTTATTGTCTGAGTACACCTCCAGGCTATACGCAAACTTTGTAGCAATTTCGTTGGGTTCGATTATTATTATCTTAGCAGTAAATACTAGAAAGTGCCTGCGATTGCTCAATCGGCTGCGACGACCGACGGCGGCTATGCACTGTCAATTGAATAATGAGAATGAGTGGACGGGACAATGTGTCGGACCGCGGCTGTACAAGTATGTCGCAATATTAGAATTAGACTCGAAATATACAAAGCTCGTCCCACTAGAAGGAACAATTTAAGTGTCGGTGTTATTGAAGTTGTTCACGGCGATTGTCAATGTTTGCCTCGCAATGCTTGTGAGTGGTTGTTGATGTCGGTGCTGAGTGATTCGCTATCTGCAACTCGCGACTTGCGAGTACTTACGTAAATCGCTTGCGTCGTCACCATGATTGGCACTCTGGCTTTAATTCGATGAGCAGTGACGCGTCTTCCTGATAGCGCCGCGCCGATGTCGTCACCTTCCGATCGCCGATCGGAGTTCCTTCGGTGGCCGAGTAACCTGGAGTAACGCTGTTTCGACGCAATCGCTGCAGGTCGTCCCTGCTCTCCTCGTATTTCTTCTTATACATAACTCCACATAACTTCGACAATTGTTTGTGAATGCCTACTATGCGAATTGTCTACCTCTACAGCAAGAAAAGGATGTTCCCAGGCAGATACCCTGCACTCGCGTACGTTTTATCAGCACAGCGCCGCTTCGACGAGCAAATATTTGAATTGTCACCTTATTAACTAGCTTGCTTGCATTTATCAGGTTTGACTTATAATTACTTCTTCGTAAATAGAATACTAATGTATCGTTTTCCTGTTCTCATTCTCATATCATAGTTGACTTTATAATAATACTAATAATTCTGCCTAACAATTACACCAACTGGTAACTAGCAGGTAACAGGGCTTAATTTTGGGAGCGCAACCCAGAACACCGGGAATCGAACTCGAGACCTACGCACGAAGCGCGCATAGTGTTAACCACTGAGCCACCTAGGTAGTCGAGTTTTTAACACAAACATGCTTTTATTAAGGTTTGGTAGTGAAATTAGAAACTCATGATTCGTCA